TCCTCACATATTGGTCATACCTGAAAACCTGGGGTGAGCAGGAATAGCAGAAATAGACAAACCATGACGTACATTCAGGCTTAATATGGAGAACTGGTTTTATTATTTCTAATTTTTTGTACTGGTCAAGACAGTTAGGGTCAAAAAGCTTGTGTGGAATACAATTGAAATTCCAATTATAGAAGAAATACCTGTAAGTATTCCAATTTTTATCCTTTCCTGTTTCTTCACCACCCATTTTCACCTGCCCTGAATTTCTTCTAAATGTGGAGAAAGTATTCCTCTCTTTAATAGGCAATGACAACATCGTTAGGTTTACCTTCACACTTTCTTCTTCCTTTTCCCCTTAAATCCACCTTTTCTGCCTGATGCCAGGGTGTATCATGATGACCATCTGTAGAGACTTTCTCTTATTCTCTTCTGATAGGTCAGGACTCGATCCTCTCTTTTAACATATGGCATGTCCTCCGTTCCTCCTGGACAGCTTTGTGGGCTAGATATGTTTTCTCATTCATTCTTTGGATCTTTCTTAAAGACACAGTAGATTTCCTAAAGGTAGGGACATCAATAACTTGTTTGTGCCCTCGGGCTGGGGTAGGTCAGTCGATTAATGAGAATGGAATGAAAACAAACATCTGCTGAGAAATGCTAATTAAAAGTTATTAGAAAGCATTTTATTTTTAATCAAATGAATTCTTTACATTTACCAAATATTCAGGAAATGACTGTTAAAAGATAACATTATAAAATCATGGAATCAAAGTTCCCCAGAATCATCCTTAATCATATACCATTAAAGATATACAGAGATTTTAGTTACTTTTTTGTGACTGTGTTAAAGGAAGTAGAGGGAATGCATTTACTTATGGCAAAAATAAATTTTAAATTATGAGCTAAATTAAGTCTACTAAGTATAAAAATGAGCAAGGACACAAGGAAAGAAGAGAAATGTCTTTGTCTTGCTTTTTATTTTTGTGTATAGTGTCAGTTTGGAGTCACTTTTGTTCCAATGAAAACCTAGTTCTAATAAAGCTGAACGCTTTCCCTCTGTTGGGAATCTATGCTTTATGATTGTATTTGCTCAGATTTTGAAGATGTTCTAAAGATTTTTTGCTTACTAAGGATCATTGCATTTTGTTTCTCATTTCATTAAATCTATATTTTAAGTGAACTCACCTAGATAGCAAGGTGTGCTCTTAGTGGCCAATGTTGCATTTGTGTAATTTGGTGAGATTTCCATTCATGCCTGTTTCTTTATTTGTGCAATGTGTCATCACATTTAGGCATCACTAATTATCTCACTGGGTTGTTAGACTATTAGGATCAAATAGGCTGATAGTTGCGAATGCAGATTCTGAGCTCCATCCCAAATCTAAGCAGTTAAAATCTGAATTTGGCACAGAAGTCTGCATTATTAATAAAGTATCCCTTGTGTGGTTTGTATACACCACAGTATGAAGGCGCAGGTCAGTTTGTGAAGGACATGTCCAGCTAAAACAAGTTTTGGTTTTTATTTTGAAGGTAATGGCAAGAGAATGGATGATTTAAAAATATAGGTCTTATTTTTATATCTTTCTTGTTTTTTATATCTTAGATTATTGTTATAAATAATTAATTGAATGAAGTATTCATGGTTATTTTGACTAAAAAAATATTGCAAGCATTTGCTTATTCAAGTTTGATAACAATTTATAATAATTGCAGAAAGTAAACATGATGGGAAGGATTTGTTTTATTTTGTACATTAGTATGTATCCAGGCATATATATTGGCTGAATTAATGAATACATTAAAGTAAATCCATATGTGTAATTGGTATCTGTTCTCTCTGTTCATACTCCATTGATTAACTGATGTACTAGAGTATTTCTTTGAGTGATATGTCTTCACATTTTAAAGATTAATTTTATGAAGTGGCTTTCCAGGTGTTTCTATTTCATTGAAACTGAAAACTATTAAGCACAGTATTTTCAGATCTTTCAATGTGGGTCTCTCTCTCTCTCCCTTTTAAATAGATGTATTGAGGTATAACTGAATACAGTTAAAATTTAATTAGTTTTGACATATGCATCTAACCATGAAACCATCACCACAATCAAGATAATAAAGATATCCGTAACCCCAGTAAGTTTCTGTGTGCCTTATGTAACCCACCCCAGGCAACCAATGGTCTGCTTTCTAATACTACAAATTAGTTAGAAATTTTTATCCTTTTGTATAAAAGAGTAATATATTATGTACATTTCTTTGTTTAATTTCTTTCACTAATTACAACTATTTTGAGATTCATCCAGGTGGTTGTGGGTGTCAATACTTCATCTCCTTTTCTTTCTAAGTAATATTTTACTATATAGATACACCACAAAATGTTTATCCATTCATCTGTTAGGATTAGGGTTAAGGTTAGGGGGTAAATTTGGATTTTTTTTCAAGATTAGTTTTCTGTGAATATTTGTTTGCAAGATTTTGTGTAGATATATTCTTTAATTTTCCTTGGGTCATGTAATATGTGCATGTTTAATATTTCTTAAAACTGCCAAACCACTTTCCAAAGTGTTTGTACATTTCCAACACTTAGTACAATTAGACTTTTTACTTTTAGCCATTCAAATAAGTGTAGTGACATCTCCTTGTGGTTTTAATTTGCACTTTCCTAAATACTGATATTGACCATCTTTTCATCTGCTTATTTGAAATATATATATATCTTCTTTGGTGAAATGTCTATTCAAATCTTTTTGCCATTTCCAAATTGGGATGTTTATCTTCTTATTAATGAGTTGTAATGGCTCTTTAATTATACTAAATAAAGGTCTACTGTTATGTAAATGTTGCAGTATTTTCTCCTAGTTTGTGGCTTTCTCTTCCATTTATTACTAGATTCTTTTGGAGAGCTGTTTTTAAGAAAATAATTGATAGAGTAGTCCAATTTGTTGATTATTTTCTTTTATAATTTGGGCTTTCTGTGTCCTACTTAAGAAAACGTTGCAACACCCAGAGTCAAGTTGCAAAACTGTAGTTTTCTTCTAGATATCTTACATTGAGATCCGTGGTTCATCTCCAGTTATTTTTTATATACGGTATGATATAGAGTTTAAGATTATTTGGGACTTTTTTCATATGTTTAGTCTTTTCAGCTCTATTTGTTAGAAAAATTATCCTATCCCCATCGAATTGCTTTGGTAACTTTGTCAAAAATCAATTAATTATATGTGTGAGTCCAATTCTGTACTCTCTGTTCTATAGATCCATATATCTGTGGGTCTAGTAGTGATTAACTTCAGCTTTTATCTGGAAAACTCTTTGTCTCTTCTTCAATTCTGAAGGACAACTTTGCCATGGTTGGCAGGTTTTCTCTTTCAGCATTCTGAAAAATCATTCCACTCCCTCCTGGCTTGCAAAGTTTCTGCTGAAAAATTCACTGATAGTCTTATGGAGATCCCCTTCAATGTAACAAACTCCTTTTATCTTGCTGCTTTTAGGATTCTCTCTTTGTCTTTTATATTTTCTCTTTGCTGAAATGCTCACTTTGTTCATGCATTGTTCTCTGACCTCAGTGAGCATCTTTATGACCATCATTTTGAACTCTCTATTGGGTAAAATCACTTATCTCTATTTTATTAAGGTCAGTTACAGGTGATTTATCTTGTCCTTTTGTTTGGAACATATTTCCTTATTATTTTTTCTTCATTTTCCTTGACTCTTTGTGTTGGTTTCTGCACATTAGATTAGACAACCACCTCTCCCAGTCTGGACAGACTGTCTCATCAATCAGCCCAGCCCAAGCTCCTGGTTGTCTCTCAAACCTTTATGGTTGTCCAAGCTGCCATCTTTGTTCTTAGTGGCTCCCTAATTGAGGGTGTGCCAAGACCGGTCAGTATTTCAAGGAAAAGGATAAAAGTCAGCACCTAGATGCAGGGTAACTAAAAGCTGTACCCTCAGGCAATAGATGGGAAAGTTAAGCCCCTTCGGAGGAGAAATTGGAAGATGGGCATTATTGCCTGCTTCCTCTGCACTGAGCCCAGGTGGATAGCCATGACAGTGGGGGAGGGACAAGCAGGGTGCTTCTGCACCTGTTGAAAAGCTGCTTGTTTTGTCTGCTCTAGTCCTGTGGGACTTGTGAATGAAAGACCCACTGGCTATC